TTTTTTTTTTTTTTTTCAAGTTAGTAAGTTGCTCACGTTGTATAATTTGCTTATAGTAAATCTTGGCTAAAATTCAAAATGGAAACAACTTAAATGAGTATACAGACACACTTGAGTACTAGTGAAGCACATGGTAGTACGGATCCATGTTACAATACCACCAATGACGAGAGTATTCAAGACTCAAACATACCTGTCATGAGTACTGGTAAGTAATAATATATTATGAAATGATTTAAATTATCTTGGAAGTTGTAATTTGCTTGCAAATCCCTCTAATAGCATTGTAAGACATTAAAATTTGATGACGAGGAACCCACTTTGAGACTAATAATGGTTGGAGACGGCTTGAATGGGTAATGAAGAAAAACTTATGTTAAAGTTTTTCTTCATTACCCATTCAAGACATCTCCAACCATTATTGTAAGAAATTAGATTTGGTTCCGTAATGTGTAACTGTTCTGGGTTTAGTAAAGGGCAATAACAAAGGTTTTGAATGACAGATTTTAACAACTGAAATGATATTATTAGGGTTATTAATGTAAATATTATTGTTGTTATTATTATTAGTAGTAGTAGTCGTATTATAATTAGCACTGTTGAGCTTTTAGAGTTTTAGTTAGTGTGTTGTTTCTTTATTGTAAAATGGTTACACAAGAAAAATGTAGCAAACTCATTTTAATAACAGTGTAAGAATATATTTTTTTATTCTGAAATTTCAGCAATAGATTCAGGGCACCTACCAGCTACAGTACTGCCCCTATCTCCAACTGCAATAACCTTTATCAAAAACCTACTAACAGCCATGTTTATGTTGAGGTAAGACAAAACCCAGCAAGTACCAAGAAAGAGAAACCTGCAACTCCAACAGGATGGTATAGACACAGGAGGAAACAAACATGTTCTGAGAGAAAGAATAAAATGAATGTATAACAGCAACGACTGCTACACGATTGCTAAAAGAAAGACAAAAAAAAAAAGATTATTTGAAGAGCATTACAAATGTGAGTGTCTATAAAAGTGTGATAAAAAAAGTGACAGTAGAAATATGGTGAGAATAATAACACCTTTTAGGAGCTTGGTTCATTTTTGGCTCCAAACTGTTACATTAGCTCTCATGTGGTTCAAAGTAAACCAGAAAGGTAGTGTGCCAAATATAGCAATAAAAGTCAGTATTCAAGAGTGTACACACTGAATGAAATGCAGGTTTGTCAAGAGATGTTTGTAAATATGCTGAAAATATTTACAATGCATGTAAACACTGCTATGCAGAAGACTTGATTACCAACAGCAGTGGATAGACATGGTTGGAAGAACAGCCAGAACAAACTTCTCAAAGCAAAGTACAATAAAGTTCTTGATCATATTAATATTTTCCTAAGGTAAAAAACTCATTACTTGCAGAATGATGCAGAAAGTGAATTTCTTTGCCCCGAACAAAGCCTGGGTCAGATATATTGTCTGTACCATGAAGGAAATGGTAAGGAAGAGTATGTAAATGAGGCAACATGCAAAAAATTGTCTTATGAGAAGTTTAACCAACATTTCAAGATACTCAAAAAATAGATACCTACAAAAACAAAGCTGTGAAAGAATGTAAATCAAATCCAAATGAAATGAGTACACTTACAAAAAAAAACATGAGAAAGATCTCCAACTTGCTGAGGAAGCTTATAATCTCATGAAAAACGAGTCCACAAAAATGATGAGTTTGGAATATGACTTTTAATTTGAACAAACTCTGCCATTGCCACGTATACTAATAGACACTGTATTTTATAAAAGATAACTAATATGATGTACAATCAGGTAGTAAAGGCCTTGGCTTTTTTCCCACGTGATTAGGGAGCATGGTAAGTAGAGTTTTACAGAAAGTTGGGTCTTGCCTTAGAAAATATTACTTGAAAAACGTTTTGAATTCTGTCAATCGTTTATTTCTTTAGTCAGATTTATGTGGGGGGACAAAACTCCAACATCAAGATCACACTTACGATGCAATCCATAATGCAATAAACCATCAATTACTTGAAACTGTACTCACGTGCTTTCTCATGTTCAGAAACATTCTTGTCAAATGACTTGTAATTCAGTACTGTTGAACGTGCTTTAAAGCACATATACAACTATGAATACATAACTGGATTACCAGAAAGCACATGCACTTGATAGTTGAAAAAATGGTCAAAGAGGATTTTCTATTAAAAACTATCGAAGCAATGATTCAGAATAGGAAGATTGATGCAGAAAAAACCAAATATGTTGGTTAAAAACATGAAATTAAACTAAAAAAGAATCCTTTACATTGGCCATGAAGACACCTCTGAAATACAACAAATCAGCAGTAATTGTTAACATTAGAAGGTGTGAACAAAGACGACCCTTTGCAGCATAGACGTTCAGTCTCTCTAAGGAGCAAGACTCACTGTGACCAGATTGATTGTGCATTTTAAGCTGAAGAAACTGCTTAAGTCTATGATATCTCTTAACCCAAAAGACATTCAGAACTGTTACAAACAATTGATAGCTAGCTGGTGATTCACTTGTGTAAGCCATTGGCTTACCAGAGTTTGATAATGAATTCCAAAAGGAAAAATGTTTGTTTGTCATTAAGAACAAAGCTAACTGTGCTATGTCCATCATGGGTGTATCAAAATGCAGTTTTCTCTAGCATTATATGTCTTCAGATTTACCACTGAGTCACTAGGGGGCTAAAAACGAGTAATGAGTGTGTCAAGTTCTCCTTTTTATATTTTGTGATTTATTAAACAAATGGTGGTTTGGATTGGAATTGTGTAGCATTTTTATTTATTTACACATAAGCAACTTGGAACCAATCCTCATTTTCTCTTTGCTATGGACAGAATAATTATTTCAGCAACTTAAACTGCTATAGTTCACACACATAACAGTATACATAAACTCATCAAGTTTTATTGCTGACTTTTTAGTTGTACAATAACTTCGAGACTTTATATCTCAAAATGACTTAGACAATGACTGGTTCCCCCTTTTGATTAACAACATCCAAATATACATTTAAAAAAAAATTATCACTTACCAGAATAGTACATCACATAAGTACTGTAATTTATCTGGCTTTCTAACTAAGCTATATGTGGGTTAAAAAAAAATTCATTTTTGTTTGGACTAATGGCTTAGTCAACACACTTAACTTTTCCTAGAAAAATAAAGATTTCCCTGTCAATAAATTTACAGACGGCTGTCAGATTTACATAGTTGAGAATTTGCTATTTTTATTGGTTATAAACATATATTTAAAAGTAAGTAGCTTCAGAAGAATTAAGATATGAGAGGTGATACATATATCAATATCTCAGAAAATATAAAAGGTGGGAAGTTTTTATTTTGTATTCTATCTTGTCAATATCTGAAGCTTGAGTTTTTAATTGTTTAAACACTACAGACATTGCTTCATAGGTGTATTATAATTTAAACTGAACAAGTAAAAGCACGGATATATTTTGTAACACACAAGAATGAACATTTAAAATTTTTTTAATATTTCCTTTAGAATTAAGAAATTAAAAACATGTATATAATATTGAAATATTGATTATGAACTACATTTTGATGACAATTTTATTGACATGCGTCGATAATAAAGGGGTTTAATTAAATTTTGAATTTAATATGTGCTCTATGACTCACCTTTATCGAGAGGATTAAAACAGAAATCCAAATATAACTTTTACAAAAAATTAGGATACTTTCAGAAAAAAGACTAAGCCTAGTTACCTATATATTTGTGACTGTTTTTTTAGAAACATTTTCAGATTGAAAGTACTTTGTTCATTCTCAGTGGCATATTTTTACAGCTACGCAAGCACTTAAACATTGCATCTTTCTATCTTGAATAAAAAATTTGGAAGAACTCTATAACAAAGTGCACGAGTAACTATTTCTTTCATCTGTGCAATGTAATAAAATATAGAAATCTTCACGGACTGTAAGACCTAAATGGACAGCATAATCACATTTTGAGTTTTGAACCCTTGAATACAAACTAAAGGGACTACAAGGTAATATTATAACAGCAACACTATACTTCTATTCTTTAAGTTCATTGAAACAACAGTCTAGCATAATCACTTGCTTAAAGACGAAAGCGTAAAAACCTCATAATACAGATTGTTTTATTTACATTTACAAAAAGTTAAAAAATCACTATGCTAAAAAGTTTTTAATTATTCTTCTATATAAAAAGTAAATTACTAATTAAATGATAACAATTACATCTAGTTTAGAAGACTATATATTTCTGTGTGAAGGTATATATTTATAAAAATAACACATGTCCCAAAAGACAAGCAATTTACTTGAAATTTATCTAATTAAAATAGTTTAATCACTATTTTTTTTTCATAAGGTAATAGAATATAAATCATTACAAATGTTGTACTACAAAATATTTTTTAGAATGGCCACACTTATAAAGAAATAAATTAAAAAATTTGTTTTGCCTTGGTGCTGCAAAATATAGATCATGATCATATACAAGTAATTTTGATGATAGATAACATTTTAAGGAAAAATATAGATGCACAAAACAAATGATTCTCTTCTTTTAAACTTTAACAATTAATTAATGCACCACAATGTTCTAAATGTACACAAATTAATATGCGTAATATTAAATACATCTCACCAGGATTATTACCAAGTACTAAATGATATAAAAAAACACCAACCTTAAGCTACAAAGATACTTGGTATCGGTTATCATATGACTAACATACATCAACATTCGCAACATGGTTAACAAATTAATTCATCTTTAGGAAGATACAACTATGGTCAGTAAATTACTTTTTGGAAATTAACACATGACTACCGCACATCAACATGGTCAACAAATTAATTCATCTTTAGGAAGATACAACTATGGTCAGTAAATTACTTTTTGGAAATTAACACATGACTACCGCACATCAACAAATTAATTCATCTTTAGGAAGATACAAATGTGGTGAGTAAACTAACTTCTGGACGATTCAGTATCGTTAATATACATATTAAGTATAGTCTTTTACAGTACATTGCTACACAACTTTTCCTTCATTTAGTCACACAATAATTATGCACAAAATCAACAAGAAGCCAGTTTGTTATTGACACAAACACAATAAATTTTCCAAGTTTCTCTAGGCTTAACATTAAAAAGAAATTAACATGCAAAATAATATTCTCAGTGTACAAAAATTACAAAGCTTCCTACCAACGGCACAATCACACTAATATATAATGACCTCAAAACACTCGTGAATAAAAAGCTTAAAAATGTTCACATGGTTACACTCAAGTCTTAAAAAAAACAACAACATAATTTTGCAAATGTTGTCAAACTGCAATGACAGGCCAAGTATTAACTAAATACTATCTTGAGTAAGCAGTAGTGTATATACAATGCTGATCTTTCAAAATTGTGAAAAACACCGATATAAACAAAGACTTCTCAAAACTATGTACAAGTCTTTCTGACAAACGTCTAAATTTTATCTTTTTTTTGATCGTCTTTTCTTTTTCTTTTTACCTGGTACTGACACCACGGCAGGAGAAGATTCACCTACCGGGTACTCCTCGATTTCCACTAAAGATGTTGAACTATTTTCTGAAATAACCATTTCTTTTTCTTTGTAAGATATATCTGTCAAGTATACAGTAGAGAAATAATTCAGAATTGCAAATCACTAGCTGAGTTAAGTTTTGCTTAAGATTAAATTTCTATAGTATGCGCTGACAAGTTTTACACTTATTTATACAAAAATAACATTTATTCACTTCTCTCCACATTTGCTTTTTTTACTGCATTAGAGCAAAGTATAACATAATGGTATAGCTGATCCTCTAAGTTTACACAGAAACAAGAACAAAAAGATGATGTAAGTGGTGATATAATGAAACAAGCCTTCTTTACTAGTATTCCAAATTACACTTAATGTCTGTATCAAATGAAGATTTAAAACACTTTTTGTTTTATGAATGTTTTGATGGGATACTGTCACGTGTACCAGAAGTTAAGCATTTCTTTAAATTGTGCAGAAGACTGTTTCTATATTTTTTTAAACAAACCTTATTTCAGAATCCTACCTTTGGTCTACTCGTAGGTCTAACAGTTTCAATGAATATCTAGTTTTGATTGCAATTGTATATTTCTGGAAATGTTACAACTTTCGAACTTGTTTTTTAAAGAGTGAAGGAATTAGAGCCAGAAGCTAGCTTGAAAGAAGCCCCAAAGAAGTCACAGAATGAATAGAGTTCAATGCCAAACAACCGAGTCACATGGTTATAAAGGTAAATATTCTTTCAACTTTAAGATATGTAAAAAATAATTCCAGTCCAGCGTAGAAATGTTCAAATATATTATCTGTTTGGTGTCTCTTAACTTCCTTCTCATGATTTTCAAATGTGTAAATTCTTGTAGTATTTATGATTACTTTATCAGCAACACGATCTCTCACAAACAGTTTTATAGTTAGTTGTACATTTATATTCATGAAGTAATGCCAATAACAGTCCAAGGTTTTGTTCTTAAGAACTTCATTTTAGTTGCACTCCCACACATTTAATTTGTGTAGGCCTAAAAGACAATGTACAATCCTTATTTTAAGAAATAATTATCTTTATCTTCACAAACATCATAGATAATTCACTTAAGCTATTTTACAAAAATATCATACCATTTTCAGCATGGCCATTCACATCAGCATTTAGTTCTAAAGATCTAATGTTCTTGCCCATGTTCTCTATCTGTGAGGAGATATTCTAAGAATTAATTTGTGTTGATGAATTTTAAGTAACATTTAATTGCACAAAAAATAACGAACAGTAACTTACTTACAGAACAATACATAATATATATATTTGTTGGTTAAAAACACATGAAATTAAACTAAAAAAGAATCCTTCACATTGGCCATGAAGACACCTCTGAAATACAACAAATCAGCAGTAATTGTTAACATTAGAAGGTGTGAACAAAGACGACCCTTTGCAGCATAGACGTTCAGTCTCTCTAAGGAGCAAGACTCACTGTGGCCAGATTGTTTCTGCATTTTAAGCTGAAGAAACTGCTTAAGTCTATGATATCTCTTAACCCAAAAGACATTCAGAACTATTACAAGCAATTGATAGCTAGCTGGTGATTTAGAAAATATCAGAATATCATAAAAATTGTAGTATACAACATCCTCAGTTAACGATATTGAATAGAAATCATAAAGGTTAGCATCTGTCACAGAGAGTCAGTTGGTAGTTGAGATGTCACATGGAAAGAAGCTCACAGATATTCACAGAGGAGTAGTTACTGGTGATGCAAATGTATGAGACATTTTCAGTCTGCCTACTCATATTCTACTTCCACTGTCGTTGATGTGCTGAAGAATTTAAAAACTATTGGATGTGCATGTGTGAAATAATGGTTCAGTTGCCCATAATTATTTTTAGTCCATGGGAGCTTTGAAATGTGTAGTGAAACTACATGATCAAGCCCTCTATTAGCCATTTAAAACAGCTGTGAACAAATATTACACATACCACGCTATACTACATTATACAGTGAGGAAAGTGAAAACAGAAACCAGTACAGTTTTTACCTCTATACCTCCATTAGTGTATGGTAACACTCTACAATTTTCACTGGTGACGTGGTCGGGTCTTAAAACACAGTCTGTAGGAATGGGACAAAAAACACATATTAATCACAAATATTTTCCCAAAATCCTAGTGTCAAAATGTGACTGAACAATATTTTTCTTAGTTGTACCTGCTTCTCTAAAAGTATTTTTAAATTAGCTGGCCAAGAGGTGGCACTACAATAGTGCTTGAATCTGATATCGCACTATTATTAAAAACTTGTTTAAAAGTATTCTCTCTCTCTCTCTCTCTCTATATATGTATATATATATATATATATAAAGTTTTAACATAACATTCCATCATGACTATAATGTTCTTGACTAATATTTTTTCCTAAAGTTTTATGGCTGACAAACAAATTCAGGGTTTGAGTTGTGTAAAGTTATCAAGTGGAGCTCAGTT